ATTAAATTTATTTATTAAATTTTTTTAACATTTTATTTTTTTATTTTTTTACTTTTTGTTCTTTATTTTTAAAATTTTTAGATTTCCCCTCTCCCCTCTCCCCTCTGGTAACCACTAGTCCATTGTCCGTGTTGGGAACTTTTAAATATCGTCTTATGTTAACTAAAAAGTGTTTAAATTGACGTAAATTTAAACCATTTTTAAAAAATGATAAAAGGGCTTTCTACCTTATACTTTTCACTACTTCCAAATCCTGATTATTAGTAATAAAGATATTTCAGTTATAAATTTTTTTCTAAGGTGACCTCTTAAAAAAAGTACTGCTAAGACTAATCCTGGCCGGCATTGTGAATCTGGCTTTCTTACCTCACATTATTCTATCTCCTTTCCCTGTTTCAGGGCCCCGTCCATTCCCAGGCTACAGAGGTGTTAGATTGTCTCTCCCAAGTCTTCTGTTCTCGAAGAAAATCGTTTGATAAAAACCAACTTGCTCTGATAAAACTATTCATAAGATTTTAGTAATTTCCCAGCAGAAGGGCATTTTAAAAGAGAACCCGAGAGAGCGAGAGCGAGAGAGTAGTGGTTAGCGCCGAGAATGACTCACTCGTGCTGGCATTCATCACTGTGGGGCAAGCAGCCTCTGACATCCTCTCAGTCACACTGCGTGGCTGGATGCCTGGCTGCTCTGCTCTGCAGGAGGCCAGTCCCAGATATTTCCAGGCTGGGGGAAAATTGAAGTAGAAGGAGTTTCATGGAGCCACACTAAGGCATACTGTTTAAGACTGACAAAATATTCATCATAGTTGAAGCTGAATGAAGGGTACGTTGGGATTTATTATACTATTGTCTTTACTTCTCTGGATGTTTAGAAATTTCCATAATAGAAAGTTTAAAAATGCTATTTAACCCAAAAATTGAGAGTGGTGATTACGGTGGGCTTTTGACTGTGTGTAGATGGGAAGAGTGAATAAAAAGGTTCCATTGATTTTGAAATATATCATATCATTTTATTTAGTCCGTTTCATAACTGACAGGTTCATTTGAACATGGAGAATTAAATTAAAACCTATCACAAAAGTATGCCACAAACCCAGTTTCTTTCTCTTTAGTAAAAATATTTTTATAATTCAGGAAGTAAAGCACCATTATGCAAAAACGGAGGGATCTTTTTACACAGTCCAGGCCCCCCAAAGAGATTATGAGACTCTTCTGCATGCAGAATAACCACAGTCCTAGGCTAACTCCTGCTCTTGCCAGAATCAGTTATGAAACCTCTACTAGCAGAAATTCAGGGTCTCCTGAAGGAGTCATACATGCTCTAGAGATTCATGAAGTTAAGACTAATTAATGTGTCATAATCTGAGAACTTGTCACTGGATGATATAAAATTATAGTTATCAAAAACTAGTTTGATAGTGACAGTGTGACTTATCTCGGAGATAACTTGCATGTACATACAAAGCAAAACTTGTCTATCTAGAAATCTTGGGGAATGAGTCATTTTTGCTATCTTGGTGTTACTGATATCCTTCAGACAATAAAACTTTACCCAAATGTACAGGAATTCCTTGAAAAAGTTGTGAATCTCTTCATCTTGTTACAGCTGATCATGGAGTGTCTTTGTCTTAGTGACTTAGGGACGTTATGATGAACAAGTTACTATATTTCTCGAAGTCAGGAAAGCAGTGGATGGGGCTATCATCTCCTACATTAAATGGTCTTACATTTACACCTTTGCAAAGCTCTTTTTCCTTCTCTTTAGGTATCAGCTACCTCTGCTACACACTCTAGATGCAGGCTTCCAGCATCTTTTCCTCCAGCTCTGCCTTTTCTATGGATTAGAAGGAAGACCCTGGGCCTTTTTAGAATTGTGTAGAAAGTAAGAGTAAATGGAACTAAAATGACTCTGAATGAGGGGGCTCAACTAATAAGCCAAGTACTGGGTTTTAGCATTGAACTTTTATGAAACCCTTTCTGGTGTATCAGAGGCTAATATTCTGGATGGATAAGGTCTTTCCATCAAAATAACTTATATGGTTTTGGTAAGTATAACATTTCTGTGTTAGATTTTGAGCTCTATGTCAACTTATTCAAAGAAGTTAATATTTACCAATCCAAATTACATCAGATGAATTATTTTAAAATTTAAGTGTGTGTGTGTGTGTGTATGTGTGTGTTAATTAGCCAAGAAGTGATTAGGCAGCACATAAGTGGTGAGAGGCAGGGTATCTTTTCACTGTATTAGAAGCCAGCCCACCTCCATGGTAAAATGGGGACAAGCATGCTATTGTTGGGTGTCATAAGAGCTAGTATTTCTAAAGCATTTGTTGAACATCGACTCTTATTTTAAGGAGGGAGGAGAATGAACCAGGACCGAAGACTGGTTCCGGATTAGAACAAGAGTAACCTCCCCTCCCCCCGCCCCCCACCTCCTCACTCATCTTCTTTCTGCTTTAGGGGAGGAGAGAGCAAGAGAGAAGAGGATAGTAAAAATGGAGAAGGAAAGAAGCCATGGAGGTATGTAGCAAATATGTGTGTTCATTCTAAAAATGAACATTACCTAAAACAGAACTGTAATGTACATACTGCTGTCAACTCTATGATCTGCTAATATCTGGCAAATAAAAATGTAGAAAAGACAAAAGTAAAGTGAGAAGATAGGGAAATAGTCCTTGGGATAGATCCAACAAGGAGAGTGCTCCAAAGGTGACGGATGCAGCAGTGAAAACTCACTGCCCCTCCTGGGATACCTCGCATATAGGGAAGTCCTAGAGAGGAGTCAGAAATGAAAGTCATCAGGGTCAGGCCAGGAACAAGGATTAGCGAGCCATGAGCTTGGCAGACTTTTTCTTTAATTTTATGATCTTATGAAAAACTAACTCATCTGCAAGGAAGTGCAGTTTTAAGTTGTTAATTAAACACCGACTCAGTAAATGAAAGGACGAAGCCTAAAGATGGTGTATAATTAATTTAGTGGTGCAGTCCCCTTGCTCCCCCATCTGTTAGTTGAGTCATTTCCAAAGACAGACAGCAAAACCCTTGAGCTGCGGCTGGAAATGAAGAATGAAGGTTAGCTTAGGTGCTGACACTGTTTTATTCATCTAGACCTGGGATACTGGACACTGGGTAGAAGTTTCAAATCTTTCAATGAAAGCCAAACGATAGTCAAGAAAAGTCTCTTCTCAACAGGACTAGGGGCCCTTTCCCTGCTGCTCAGCTTCTGGGCTGTCAAATCATGAAAAAACAAGATGGTTGGTGGTTTTTGTTGTAAACATTCAGCTCCAAACAAATACCTTAATTCATCGAGCAGTCGGAAGAGGAGGATGATCCCTTTTGACTCATGCTGCCTAGGTGGCGGAAGTCCCACTGAAAACAGCAGAAGGAATTAGATGAGACTAAATTAACTCAGGTGTCTGTGGACATGGGTGGGAAGAGGTAGTGATTCATAACCAGGGCAAAGATAAGTTGGTTCTTGCTCTTGTAAACTCCAAGTCCAGAGTCCATTTTCTGAAATCATTATAAAAGAGGAAATTCATTTTAGAAAATAGAAAGTAAAAGGCATCAGAGCTACAGAGTTGAGACTGTCAACAGGGCTCACAGGCAGTGTCCGGGAGTGATGACTTTGTTTGCCAGCCTGACCCAGTGGGCTCTGATGCCCAGAAACTTAACTTGGTCCCATAGACAAAGGGGACTCACATATGTAGCAAAAAGAAAAATGGTATCGAACTGAGGAAGATTTTGGCTCTTATTACATTTTTTAAAGTTAGTCCAGTTACTGGGGTTTTATTTTATTATATTTTTCCTGCAGAAAAAAGAGACAAAAGTTGTCTATCTTCCTTATTGCTTTAGTCTTGAAGTATGATTTTAAGATCCGAGACTGTAGGAGGCTTTATGTAATTCATCACTGATAAAAATTGTCCTAAGATACATTTTGGGATGGAGATTTTTGATGCTGAAACTTCCAGGTTGGACTGGATCTACGGTGAAGAGGTGGAGTTAGAAGAGTATTGGTATCCTCAAGACTACCGGTCCTGGCTGTTTGCCGGGAGGTCTGTATGATCACCTACCTTTTCTCCAGCAGGAGCGGGGAACCACCTGTTCCCCTTACTCCCACCCCAAAATCTGTCTTGTTAGGCTAGCCTTAAGGAAGCCCTGAACCTGACTTGTTGAGTTTGCCATCACAGTGTTCAATCATTTTTAGAGGAGTAACTGTCATGGCCATAGCATCACCCCTACAAAAAATCCAAGGAGATATTCAGTATACATAGCATCATAAAAAGAGCACTGGACTCAGAGTTAGAAGGCCAAGGGTGTAGTCCCAGCTTTGCACCTGATGTCTGATGTGTCCATGGGCAGGTCACTCATCCTCATGACATGACTATAATATGAGGTTACTGGTGATAATTTCCAGAGTCTGTCCTACCTCTGAGATTCTACTAGTCTATGAAGTGCTATCATCTATAAACAAAGGTCTGATAAACTTCCATACCCTCTGGGAATGTGCCAAGAAGAACAAAGAAGCAAGAAAACATGACCCATCTTATGACAGAAGCCAGGGCTGCCAGTCTCTGTCCAGGTGACAGAGGATACCCACAAGCGTGACAGAGTCAGCAGAGGTTCTCATGGAAAGAGGAATCTTCTGCTCACAGTACTTCTGACTTGCTCTGCTATGTTCCCCAAGTACCCTCCCTCATTGTAGTCCCACATCCTTTTAAATAACCCTGTTGAAGCAGTGACCTAAAACTCCAAACCTAAAGTAGTGTGGAGTTATAGAAACCTCTTCTTCTATCTGCTCCATGTGTTAGAAGCATTATAATGGAACTGACTTGAAAGGGAGAGAGCAGTAGAACTTCCACTAGAACTATTTCAAAACCTCTTACAGAGAATTCACTCTATTTCAGATGTCTGTGATAAAAGTTCTCTGTCCCTCATTTAATATTTACCAGCCCTCACTGTGGAGAGCTGGCCATAGGATTAGGGTAGATTTTAAATATTATTTTTTATTTAAAAAATTGACAATATATGTACCTGGTTCAAAATTCAAAAGAGAAGAGGATATTAAAGCAAAGTAAGTCTTCCTTCTACTCTATTCTTTAGCCTCTCATGTTTTCCCTCCAGGCATTCACTTTTTCCAGATTCTTGTGTATCTGTTCAAAGATATTCAATGCGTATGTAAGACTTTGCATACATATTTCATTTTTTCTTTTCGCAAGTGGTAGCACAGTTCACAATATTATACACTTGCTTTTTTTCTCTCAAAGGTACATTTTGGAGCTCTTCCATTTTAGTATATGTAGAGCTACTCCATTCTTTTTAACAGCTGTATAGTATTCCATTGTATAGATGATCATAATTTGTTTAACCAGTCTTCTATTACTGAACATTTAGACAGTTTCCAAAATGTCGTTAAAACAAACAACAGTGTTGAATATAAATACAACATTGTCTTTTTTACATTGTCATGTATCGTCTTGTGCTGTTAGATTTATTTTCATGTGTAAATGTCTACCTTTTCAATTGGATTATAAATATCTAAAGAACAGGAGCAGATATTGTGCTGTCCTATGACTCCAACAACACAAAATGAAGCATCCTGCACATAGTTTGGGTTTCATAAATATTAGATGAATGAAATAAAAACCCTTAATTGTACCCTTGATACTTTAGAAATAAGTATATGGTAATTCAAAGGTTAAATAACTTGCCTAAAATCACAGAAAACCCGTCAGTCATAGGAAACACCAACAAAGTAAAATAGATGAAAATAAAAGCAGATATTTAGAATATGTTCCAAAAGTAGAATATTTTTCCAAGTTTACATGCACACCTAGAAGAAATAACTCCATTGGCTAGTTCTGCAAGGAGAGTAAACAACTCCTCTGAAAATATCGGTCATCTTGGGAGGCAGCAGATGTCTCCAGCTATTGGAATTCCACTTGGTTAAGTGTTGACTCCAGTTCACCAAACGGTGTCCCAGTGACCTGGAAAAGTTAAGTATCACCCGAAGTACCTGACTGGTCAGTAAGGAGACGTTTCCTCACATGAGGAAATCTAGTTCAGCCCAGAGGAAGATAAAAAAGGAGAAGAAGGAGGAAAAGAAAAATTCGGGAGGTGAAAATATGACAGCTCTGGAATAAATCAGGAAAAAGAGGGAATGAGTAGATGACTTTAATTGTGCCGCATCAGCTGTCATCAGTGATACATGAAGAGAATGCCCCTTTGTTAGCAAACAAGGAGGGCGTTGTTATCATGATGTTTAATGACACTCATTATAACCTGGTAGTACAAAATGTGTGGTCTGATTGGTTGATCTCAAAACAATTATGTCGACATCTCATAGTTTAAAGATTATACAGCTTTGTAGTTTCATAACTTATTATCCCCTAAAAAAATAGTTTTTCCATACAAATAAGTGTTGTATTAAACTCTGTGAAAGTTCTCCAGGATTTCCAAGACCCCCACCTACCAAGAGTGACTCTGATATTGACACCAGTGTTTTTGAAGTGGTCAGTTTCCTTTGCCCTCAAGTTGGGAAGAGTGTTGAATTGTTTGTTTACTTTCTTCTTTTCCTTTTTTCTCTTTAGTGACTTGAAAGAGCAGACCTATTGGCTCTAGGAAGAATATGCTGATTCGCTCTTATCCCCACCCCCCAATCAATAAAAAGCCTTATCATCAGGTTTGTGGGCTGGATGACAACAAGCAAACTATACAACATCAGCGAATAGGAAGTGTGGATGCCACATGGCACCAAAATGCAAGAATAATTTGAGGAGCATAATTATCCAAGGTGGCAGTTTGATGAAGGCATGGAGGTTGACACTCCTAAGCTTGAGTAAAGTGTCCTGGAATCTGAGTGGTTTTAAATGGTCCACATTTCAAGTTCCTGCCTCACCCCAAAGTTGTGGCAGCTCCCTCATAACAAGGCCCACCTGGGCACCTGCAGCCCTGGTCCTCAGGGCAGAAAGCCACGTGCTGAGTCATCAATCCCTCCCAAAGCTCTGAGCCACAGGCTATAGGACAATGCCACCCTGACTTCCTTTGCCACCGTGACGAAAACATTATTCTGGGCAGAGTGGCTAGAAGGGAGCGCCGCCAGCTGAGGTTTCAACAAGACCTTTTAACGTAACACGGCTTTATTAAAATGAGCAACAAGCTTTTACATTCATTGATCTGTAGAAATGGACTTAGGGGTCATCTGGTTTAACTGCTGCGTTTTATAGGATGTGGAAACAGACCTGGAGAAGTTACACCTCTCGCTAAAGTCATCCAGCTGGCCAAACCAGAAAGAAACCCAGGACTCCTGACGAACTGTTTCCCCAACCGCCCCCTAGTAGAGTGTTCTTTCCATTTCAGGACATCCCCCCACCCCATTATTGCTGTTGTCCTGGGAGTGCATTCTTTTGAAATAAAACAATCACTTGACATGATTTTATGAATCTTTATGAAATACTTGAATGGTTGAGGGTGAAACCTAGGACATCTCAACACAGAGTGTTTTATATAATGTTGAAAAAAAAAACTTGGAGTTCTTTTTGTTTATGATCTTATCCGGAAATTCACACTGCCGAAGATTTAGATAGAAATGATACTGTAGTCCCATTTCAAGGAATTGACCACCTACTCCTAAATTATCACTGATTTATAACAAAAATTTGAAAATGTTCTTTGCAGGCATAGCCAGACTTACCGCATTTTATTGATATTCTGTTCTTGCCAGCTAGAACAAATGTAACAAGTGAACCTGGAATTCTCTATTGGACAGTCAGATTCAAATATAGTCAGAACATACACTGCTCTTAATTAAAAAATCTTTTTGAGCCAAAGTACAATTGTATGGAGGAGAAACCCAAAATACCTGTCAAATTAAATGCTAGGAAATGAAAGCTAAGTATTAGTGTTTCTAATTCAACTTGATCTTTCTTAGCAATTAATACTAGAACTAATTTATTTAAAAGAGGCCAGTAACATAAATTAAATTATACATAGCTCTCTCTATCTCTCCAGAGGCAAGTAAATATTTGAGATCAGGGTCTTGGTCTTATTCATACCTGAGCCTCACCTCCAGCTTGGCCCAACATTTAAAGTATTATAGGCAGGCAATACTCGTTCACGGAAAGAATAAATGAGTAAATGCATATGTAAAAATGCTGGTTTTATCTTTCATTATTAGGCTGAAAACCCCATAATTTGAGATACGCACCCCGTCCCCCGCAAAAAACCCCTCAAGACTCATGTGTTGAATTGACCTGTTTGATGATAGGATTTAAAAATAAGAGGAAAAGTAGGCAGGACTTTCTAAGCTTTTTTTTTTCCTGAGGGGCAATGGGTCAAAAGAACACAAGGCTATGAGAATTACATTTAGTGAATCTTCAACAAACTAATTTTAAAGCTAATATATAAATATAATCCAAAATATATTTAAAACTATGTATCTTATATTTTGTGGACTAAGGCTACTGCACTGAGGCGAAGGGAGAGACCATCAGACTTGGTTTAGGAAGATTCCAGTGAGAGCAACTAGTTAGGTGACATTAAGCAAGATACTTAAGAAAAGTTCCTCTTTCGGAGTATTGCCTGTGTGCACTGGGTTAAGGTCGTCTTCCTGCATCATCTAATTTATTTGATCTCTCTGGGCCTCTGTTTCCTGGCATGTAAAATGGGGATAACAGAACCTACCTCTAAGGGTACCTGTGACGATAAAATGAGAAAATGTCTGTGACAGACCGTAGTAAGCTATACAGTATAAATCAAAGGGAAGGCATTATTTCCGTAATTATGATTGTATTACAGAAGCACCAAAATCAGTATTTAAGATAGATTTTTACTTTCTGTTTCCTCTACTGCCATTTAAAATGAATACTATAGAGCAAAAATAGACATGACTCATGAATCATACGTTCTTTGGAACCTTTATCTGTCACTCTCTTCATTAATCTCATGAAGGAAATGAACCAAAGAAGGAAAAAGTCAAGGTAAGAGTGAGAGAAGATGGAAAGTTACTCTAAGAAGTGCCCAGCTAATTTCTAGAAAGCTTCTTATCTGCAAATAGTCTGGCCAAATTGCTCAGTGTGTTTTGAAGCGTCTGCATGACTATTGGCAGACGCTTTGTAATCTATTCCTATATTTTCTTTCCCCTGAATTTCTATCCTCTTAGGAATCTCAGAGTAAGAAGTGCAATGTAAGAGCCTGGAAGCTTTGTTCTGGGTAGGAGAAAATTGTCTATTGAAAAACAAGCCAACCCTCCTTCTGGGCCTTGAAGCTCGACGATGTCATTTATGGAGTGACACAGTCACACTGTAAATGAACAGAGACATTCCAGAGTTCATGACTGTTGCGTAACAACAACACTTGAAGGGTGGCTGCAGGCACAAGGCACCACCGCCCTCCGAGTGCGGTGACAGTGGACGAACCACGCCCCCTGGAATGTGGCTTTGCTCAAAGGCCAGCCTTCCTCCTGTCCCCGCCACCAAGCGCTGGGGGTGGAAACTGGACAGACTAGAGGGACAACTCTATTTTCAGGGAATGACAAATCGACTGCCACTGATTGGGTGAGGGCACTTACCTGCCTCCGCTCAGGCTCCGAGGACAACTTGCCAGGAGGATTTGTTTAGGAGTGATTTGTATGAGGAAGTGTCACAGAGCAACAGAACCCAAACAGCCTGCTTCCAAAGGTGATTGCAACTCAGGCTCCATTAGAAAAGTGGAGGTGAGGGCCATTCTCCACCCCATGGTCCTATAGCCACCAAGTTGCTGGAGAGGACATTCCGTTCCTCTGAGAGAGAAAGAGAAGGAGACAAGATGGCAGCTCTAAATTACATGTGCAATAGGCCAGCAGGCTTGTAAACATTTAAGGAGTTGATTGTTATTTTCATTCCTGACTGGTTTGGTGGTACAAATAACAACTCCATAAACTGCTGAAGCCCAGCCAGAGTGCTGAGGACATGCATTTGTGAACAGGATCATAGCAAGTGATGAATATTCATGGCAGAGTGAATCTGAACTGCTCCCCAAACAGGTCGGCTGGTGCGTGACCTCAAAACAGGTCTTGGTTTGGAAATCAAGTTTATAGATTTAACCAAAGAAAAGCACTCCAGTAGCATGATCAAAAAAATGGCACTACAGAGGTTGAGGGGGAGTTGGGAAAGGGGAGTTGTTGTTCAATAAGTATAGGGTTTCAGCTTTGCAAGATGAAAACGTTCTAGAGATCTGTGGCCTAACAATGTGCATATAGTTAATGCTATTGAACTGTACACTTGAAAATGGTTAAGATATGGTACATTTTCTGTTTTTTTTTTTTTTAACCACAATTAAGAAAGAAAAGAACAGTCACTACAGAGAGTGCCCTAAAACAGCTCAAACCAAATATATAGCTATGCCCCAACCTCTTTCCTCATCCTTCTGCCCCACGGGGACAGGTGCCAAGGAGTCAGGTATAAGCTGGTCTCGGGCTCCACAGAGGTAACTGTGGCTGCTCTTCGGGCTTCCCAGAACCACGGAGCTCTTGAACTGAATGTTCTTTCCTTTGTCTAATGATCTCTTCCTCCATCACCCCAAAATGATCAGGGGCATAAAAAGATACGCTCTGCCGCTCTGAGGATTAGAGAATCTGGCCAGGGTGGGTACACTGGCTAGGCCAGAGAGAAAACCTTAAAGATTTCTCCTTTCCCCTCTCCCCACCACCCACCATGTCTGGCCCCCAACACCTTCTACCCCCACTTGCACCATCGAAAGGGACTTTCCCTCTCTAACCACCAGGGTCTCCAGTGGTGAACAAAGATGATGGCAAAAGACATGATGTGGTTTCTGCTCAGTTAGAAGCACAGGAAAAACTTTCAAGCACCCCTTAGAAGGGAGTAAACCCAAGTACGGAAGGAAGTCTGTGCACCCTCAGCCTTTTTTTTTTTTTTTCGGTCTTTCAGAAACATATACCTCTCTTTTGGAGAAGCCCACCAAGTGCCCATTGGACCTTAACAGATCTCACAGAGAGCTGGGACCGAGAGGCCCTATAAGTAATTGCTCGTCTCCATCCGACCACTTTCAAACTCTGATTTCTCTGATGTGAACAAGATTAGGAGCTGAATTTGAGATGCTTCTCACATCTCTTAAGTTACATGGCTCATTTTAAAAGATTTCTTCCTTCCTTTTCTTTTTTTAAATTTTTTTCAGCCAATCCTCTTAAGAGCATATAATTCAGGCTATATATAGAAGAACAATAATATATTATGCTGTTACACTAAAGTTGGAGGGAGGATTGAAACAGCTGTAACCTATCTAAGATGGGCTGGATGGTTTGCTTCAGATAATGTAAGTTTCAGTCTGGAATCCACGTGTAGGTCAAAACTAAAAAAGACAAAAACTACCAATTTGAAGCAATCTGACTATAAATCTTGCAGGTTTCTGTTGGTTTCAAAACCTGGATAGCAGGTGGGTATACTGAAAGTCTTCAGATAATTTTTAGGGGAATCGTGCCTTTTGGGATTACATTGCCTGGAAACAAAAAGTAGAACAGACTGCTCTTTCTCAACTTTTATCTCTGCCTCCAGGTACATTGGTTAACTATATATGGGCAATATTTAAAACACAGAACATACCTCCTTAAACCCAGAAGTAACAAAGTTTTTTTTTTTTTTTTACGTGTACTTGAAGCAGAAAATATGACCATTTAACGTTTCCTCTCCTTTGTAGAAAACACAGACCCTCCATGCTTTAAAGTGGAATGAACTTAAAGCCAATTTATCTAAAATAGCATCTGAATTTTTGCAATTGCCCATTGCCTACTATCTGAGGATCACTGTGCCCTTCAGCTGCAGTTGCCAGGTCTCTAGGCATGCTCTGACAAGGTGGGTTTAGCTACGTTCCTCAGTTTCCTTTTTGGGACACTATTGACCTGAGGCTGACACAGAACTACTGAAGCCTGACACCTCTACTCTTTTGCTAAAGCACACAGAAATGCTAACTCAGTCTGGCACTTTGTGGGAGGACTGGCTACCCCTAGAGCATGAAAATCTTTCAATAAAGTGTCATCTGGCAGCAGCTCGGCTTCGGAGATATGAATGGTTGTGTGGAGCTCTAAGTGGGATAGATTTAGAGTGATGATGGGCCATAGCAGGCCACAGTTCTTCTCCAAGACTCCCTGTCTCCTCCTTTCTTTCCCCAAATGTCTGCAGAACTAGTTAAGAGTCGAGTTCCTGACAAGGCAAAGGTGGTAATTTAATGCTATAAAACTGCCGTTTTGGCAAGCCTACCAGAAATACAAACATCAGTGACTCCTATGGGCCCTGCCCAGCTTGGCAATAGCAGCATTGTCTAATGGGCTAATGTAGGAAGCAGAGTCAGGAAGCTACAGTTTGGTTTCCAGGTCCAGCAGGAACTCGTCAGGTGGCTTGGGCATCTCTCCTGACCTCCCATGCTTTG